AAAACTGAAAAACGACAAAAATGGAGATACGAGGTTTTCTTCCGACAGCAGCGATATATAGAATTTGTAAAGGCCCAAAATTTCACATTTATCCCAAATGTACTCTGAAGTTTGCTTCTTTAAAAGCTAATGTAGCTAACAAGTAATGGAAGCTTACCCCACCAATAAGCATAGTGCAAACGACGTAGCTAGATCATCTCACACTTCCCTTAAACTGTGTTGAGTTGTTCAGTAATCTAATACACTTGCCTACGTGGTTTCTGACACTACGCGACAGACTGTTGTCCATAAAATACAGACTCCGTATGTTCATCTCTCTTTTCTATGAATAAATTGCTTAATAGACTCGAATGGCAACAACTTTATCCGTCCTTATGCTGACATGACGATATTGGTTGAGTGAGAGAAAGAAATACCCGCTTCAGTTTCTCTCCGGCAGCCATATGGAAGACATATGTTTGTTCATACAGAGAAATACAAAAATAACTGAATTATGTCTGAGTAACAAGATCTTGTTTTGGTGTGTCGTGAAATAGGAACAAGATGAGACGGTAATGTACGTGAGCGGAAGAAAACACGGATGTGTGTGTCCCTAACCAAGTACAGCTTGTGTGCTCCAAACTCTGGCCATACATGAAAAGACCTCTTTTCTTGAATCAGTGTCAACATGATATTTTAGGATCAAAAATGCCATCAAATCATAAATTTTCTTTACATCTGGGAGAGATACTGTGAGTAGGTATTTAATACATACATTTATCTGTCTTTCTTTTCATCTCTTTATTCATAAGTGCCACTGTGTTATATGGTAGTAAAGAATAAGGCAATGAGAGGCGCACATTACAGTGATTTTACCGCCGTTAAAGCCTTTTTAGGTGCAAGATGAAGCAGAGCTTCCACGAAGCTAAGTAGTTTACAGTAGGTGATGGTTGCCAAGCAACAAAACGGCCAATAAATATTTCAGAAACAGTATAATGGTTCTTAAAGACCAGTTTTTTCTTAGTAATTAGTTGGCATGTAATATACATGTACAAAGTATGCCTTGAGAATACATTGCTATGTACAGTAATTGGATGTTTTATTTCGCAAAAATTATTTTCTTTTTATATAAACTGGGACATCTTACCAGTGACTGAGTTATCATGGTCACTCATCAAAGCCGTGGCAGGCTGGGAGTGTTGGACAGAGGGATGTCAATCAGTTGTGCTCATTAGAATAATATGACTATGCCCAGTGAGTTCTCATATAGGTCTAATCAGCAGTTTTTAACCAGCAGTTTTTCATTCCAGCCTTGCTGGATGTGTAAAATATTTTTTTGTATACTTAAAAAAAAATATGCCATGTTTCCTGGGATTTTAATAACTTGGTTCAAAAATATAGAATTTATATTTGTGTGGTTTGTGAGTTTGTTCAGTATTTTGCTCACAGAAACTATCACACTATTAAGGGTGACATCACCAAGATTTCACCTGAACAACAGATCAAGTCTGTTCTCCATCTTTCCGTCTTTCAAACAGACTGTTCTCATCTGTGGAGATGCTATGAAGGCATACGTGTTCAATTCAAGGTGCTCCGTCTCTGCAGTGTCTCAGCTCCATCTCTGTCATTACGCTAGTTTACGTCATAGCTGCCGTAAAAATTCCTTTTTACAATCAAAAACGGTTACCAGCTACTAAAAAACGCTTCCTGCAGGCTTTCAAAAATGATGAAAACAATGATTAATGTGTGCCTGGCAGATTATGTGTTTCCTTTGATATGCTTCTTGGATGGTAATACCCCAGTGAGGTTATCAGGTTTACTCATATTACTGTCTGACTAAAACCATACTTGACGCAAGCTTTGATTCAGAGATGAGATGAGATTTGAGCTCGGCTATGTTCGACACAAAGCATACAGCACGTAAAACCTCACCGTGCGTGTAGAACGCTTCTTTGTAATGGTGAATTAATGGGATGTAAATGTTAAAACATCCTGTGTTGCACATTGAGTTTCAGTGTGCTCTATAAATACCACGGAATGATACATAATGGAAATTAGTAAGTTCTTTTTGAATATAGTAGAGAACGGCTCATTTTCTGTTGTCATTGGCTGTGTTTACATGTGAGGATTTTTGCCAATCTGACTAAATACATTCTGATTCTAGATTAAGCCTGAGGTGTTTATATTCACACTCTACTCAACAATCTAATAGAAAATCTTAGTTTACATGCTCACTACAAGTAATCAGATCCAAATTTACACAGAAGCATAGAGAACCACTTAGTGTAGACACTTAGTGTAGAATCTGGTCAGAGTGAGATGAGCAGCAGTGAGCAGTGCTTGTGTTTTTAATCACTTTAAAATGATGTCAGACTCAGGAAAACGTCCTTCACATGTCCTTATTAAAGAAGGCCGAGAGGAAGGCGTCGTGTTCTGAGACACATAAGCTGGACATCCGTCCCACCGCCATCTTTTAAAGATCAGAGCATAAACTTCGTCTCCTCTGCAGACCAGTTTCTGCTCCGCCATGTTGAACGTTATAAACCTTCACTATGACGTGACGAACATGATCAGAACGGGCTTAAACTTTCCGATAGGGAGTGTAATCAGATACGGGCGTTTACACGGATATCATTCTTCTATTTAACATTATTTACAGTATAACCCATCTTGTTCAATCAGATAGAAATTGTATTCCAAATGGCCTCAACCCGACTAGTCTATTCCAAAAGAGCTATTAGTCCAATTATTAATGTGGCTATTGTATTGCATTTAGTGTAAAAGGTTCATGTTCTTTACATTTATGGCTTATACATTGCTAATCGGGGCAGAACTTGCCTTTTAGATGTAGATGCAAGCTATATAGATTGAATTATAATTGAAAAAGTTGAACTTTTTTTGTTTTTTAAATGAATTGTTTGGCACAAAATAAAATTTACCCAATTGTCCACTTACTACAGATCAGCCAAGACATGTTTGGAAGTCATATTTTGCTCCTTTAGTTTAAAACTGGAGCTGCAAGGCTGATGCTGCTAACCCTTGAACTCAATAGTCACCCAAATAGCCCAAATCATTTCTGTAAAAATACAGTCCCATAACTTCTCTCAACCCATTCAGACTGCATCAATAAGGTCACACAGACTTGCCAATGTGGATTAGAGCACATGATGATGTAATATTAAAGACATTTATAAAAGAACTATATTACAAATAATGCTATGTTTCTGAGGCTGTGTAGTTGGTCATATAAGCTCCTGTTAGAGATGCTAACTTGAGTCTTTGGTCTTTCTCAAGTTTTGCCATAATATTCAAATGTCATATTTAATACATATTTTATTACATAGGTAGTTACATAGTTAATTACATTTACATTCAGTTTTCATTCTCTGTTGATGTTTTTTTCCATTCATTTCCTGTCATTTTTTTTTTTCTTTCTACAAAACAAAACTGCGCACACAACAATACGTTTTCATCATATTCAAATGTTAATACTATATCTCCTCTTCTACACTTTCGACAGAATTCATTCATTTGTTTAAAACAAGCTATAAGTCTTAAATGACTGTTTATCATCACCGACTTCTACTATTAAAAGTTGAGAAGTGATTTTTTGGCATTCTGCTTGCCGGATTGAATTGTTTGGCTGAAAGCCATCATATTTAGTTTACGGTATATTGTGGATATGCAGCATTTGCATTGTCATTTTTGCCTCACGGAGCTCCTCACAACCGGACGAGCTGCCACTAAAGCTTTTAGCCTCTTGTGTTTTTATTGAGGGCTGAACTTAAATCACTGAAGATAAGCTCCAGGTATTTTAAAAGGGTATAACAAGGCAAAGTTACGAGAAGAGGTATAAAGATGAAAAGCCCAGGTTAAAAGCAAAGGCCTCCAGAGATGATTTTTGCTTTGTAACCAGATGTTGGGTCAGTTCAGGGCATTTTTGGAATATCAGTGTTTCAGTGGAGCAACGGAAGCCAACATTCTTTCACACTGGTATCCAAACCACACGCTGACCTGTTTAGATCAAAACAGTCCATCGTGTCTGGGTTTTGGATGGGAACGTGCACTGGCATAATAGCCAGATGTACCAGATATCTCCCAGAAATCTTTACCATTCCGCATAAAAATAAAAACCCGTTTGATGTTTAATCAGTAACTAGCTTTGGGCTGACTTTCCCTAAGTGCCGAGCCCATACTGTCATGGTTGGCTGACCGACATGTAATGTCCAATCAGTTTCAAATTATGACACATGGCTAATTATAGGCTTATAGTCTTGATTCATTCAGCCTCCCCAGCAATAGCTTTAACATATCTAGCTCTTTTTTTTTTCTGTTGTTGTTCCCGGTATTTCAGGAAAAAACATGGATTTTCACATTCCATGATAACTTTCCAATCTTTCTTCCACCAGGAATCAGAAATCATGAGAGATTTGAAGCTTAATATTCATCTATAGCAAACTATTTATGTGCATCAACATCAATCAAAGCATGCTTTTACACCTAGCCTGTCTGGTGACTAATCAGATTTTTGTTTAATTCAGTTTATTTTGACAGGTGTAAACACTCCACCCACACTTCGCTGATTACTAAACAAGTGAGCTAAACTAACAATACCAGGTCTCAGATCACATCCAATGAATGCTGGTTCAGTTCTTTGCTAGTGGGAACAGTTTTTCATGATGCTTTGCACCAAATGAGGGAATTCAACATTGTAGCCTGTTTTCCTGATTTAGTTGCCACTTTAGAACCACATTGTCCATGATTGCTGCATTTTAACATTATACACTTTATAGAAACTCATTTTTGCGGCATGAGCTGCTGCTAATAATGGCTGATTAGCACTAGCAAAACACTTGATTTTGGCACATAGATTGATGGATGGGGGCAGCAACTTGGTTGAAACAGTTCCCAACTTGGGTTATGCACATCTAAATCTGTGTAGACTAAAACAAAGCAAGTTCTTGTTGCACTACTTTAGTATATGTTGAGCCTCATTTCTCGTTTGTGTCCATCTACTGCAGTCAGGATCCACTGTGACCATGACCTGTACAGACGGCAAGTGGAACAAGCAAGTGTCCTGCGAGCCTGTGGACTGCGGACTGCCTGACAAGTACCACGTCCACCCTGCTAACTTCCACTTCCCTGAGGGCACCACCTACGGCAAGAAGTGCACCTTCCAGTGTAGGGAACCTGCCCAGCTCGTTGGTGAGGAACTCCCACTGAGGCGCCCGATGAGTGCAAGGAATTTGTCACCTAGATAATTAAGAATGAAGTCCAGCACGATTGAATTGGAAAATGTCAACTGGTCAACCTATCAGCCACTCATGTAGTACTCAGAAGATGATTGGATGTTTAGGACTTCAGTTCACTGTTTAACATTCAGGGTGGGTGGGTGGCGGAACATGAGCGATTTTGTGTAGTCTAGTCAGCAGTTATTGGTAATTCTTTATCCTTGAACAGTTGCAAGCTAACGAATGCTAATAGACCTGTGAAGTCATGTTGTCATCCTGCAGTCGTTGTCAAAATCATTTTAGGAACAAAATGTTTTCTCTGTGGGGAAATTTTCAGAAATCATCTTGCAGTAAACAAAGCTGATTCATTTCAGACGTTTTACCTCTGAAGGAGGTCTCTAAGGAGTCAGAATACGAATGTTGTTACATGCAAGCTAACATGATGTGCCCTGAATTGACGTCATAAGACCTGCCAGAATACCCAAAGCAAACCAGCCAGCTTTGTCAAATGTGGTTATTAAGTTGCTTTGGCAGTTGTTGACTACATTTTGAGTAACTGGTGCTGTTATATAATAGTGTTGAACTATAGTAGCAGCAGTGTCATTTCAGTGTGGAGTATTAGCTTGCTAGCAGCATGTATGTAGCATTATTCCTTTTTTCAACTTCTTAATGATCTTGTATTTCAGCACAAGAAGAATAGACATAGGACAAAACATATCAATTTTGTTTACCATATGCCGCAATAAGAACATTTTGAAAATTCCATCATTTTTTTCCAAACAGAAAACCAGTTTACACTCAGAATTCCTAAAATTGGCTTAGCTGCCACTGTAGAATGGCACATTTAGAGGTCTATACTGAAACCTGAACAGTGACCAAGTTACATGTGGTTAGTTTTTTTGCGTAAGTATTAGGTTGATTAATTATGCAAGCCAATCCAGAAAAATCTTGCTAATTCTTACTGGCTAATTAACTACTGGCTGCTAAATGCTAATACTGACAACTGCTACCTGAACATCTTACCAATCTGTTTCTGTGCCTTTCCAGGCACTAATAACACCCTGACGTGTATGGAGGACGGACTTTGGTCCTTCCCTGAGGCCTTGTGTGAGCTCCGCTGTCCCGCTCCTCCTCCTGTGCCTAACGCCATGCTGATGACCAAGCGTTGCAATGAGACTGGCCTCAAAGTGGGCTCCCTCTGCAAGTACAAGTGCAAGCCTGGTTATCACGTCGCCAACAAACCCAAAAGGTACCCCCACCTGTCAGGCTCTATCTTAATTAACGCCTCTGTCTGGGAACACTCCTGAGTCAGAGTTTTATCACCACTGATGATAGAAGCAGTTATTAAGGAGTCATAAATTTGCTGTAATATAGTCTTCAGGGGCAGGCTTTAGCGTATTATTAATAGATGTTTCCAAAAGGGTCCCAGACAGGGTCGACGTACCACTTTTGCTTCCATAAATATTATGTTTGACAGCACATCCAGAATCAAGACACAATGCTATTATCAGCAAACTAGTGTACATTGTCCTGTACATATTGTACTGTTGTGGATACACTGTAAACATGTTCTGTAATGTTTATGATAATTTACAGTTTTATACGTTATCTTGTGTTGAACTCTTGGAAAACATTTACAATACAGGCAGATTATACTCTACCAAACACCTTATTGTATGGCTACTGTAATAACAAAGTACCAGAAGTGCTAATCTGAAGCAGCAAAGGATCATTGTCTTCACTGCAATTTAATATTGTTAATATTTTTAACAGTTTAATTTCATAGTGTTTTAGAAGAGCATCTGAGTTGTGTTGATATAACAACAGTAACAAGTCTATACTTAGTGATAAAGTTAAAAAAAGTAAAAATTTGTCTACTTAGCTAATGTTAATAGCCTTTTAGCTTACCTAGCACATAATAAAGCATGGGTTATTCAAGAAAATTCATGAGACTTTTATTTATTTTTTTATCATGTGTCATTATATAACATTAAATGTAGAAATATTCACTTTGTATTTTTATTTCTAAGTGATTACCACAGCTATGATAGCACTAACTGGTATCTCTATGGGATTTTCAGTGCCATGTTAGTGCCAAGCTGATGGTGTTGTACATTCACTTTCCCACATTGTGTTTAGTACTATACAGCTTGAGCTTATACACTGATAGGCAAAGCTTGTAAGACATTCATGTAACATATATTTAGTTTGTATATTTTTGTATATTGCTGCCAGAAAGTTTCTGTAAATTTACAGACTCATTTTTACAATGTACAGCATTCTTCGTTGTTCTGTACTGGTTCAGTGATGAGTTGAATTAATTCCCCTTCTTCAAAGGCGGTCGTTTAAGCGGCAGTGTACAGAGGATGGCCGGTGGCTGGAGGGTTCCTGTGAGCCGGTGACGTGTCCACCACCGCCGCCGGTCTTCCACGGCATGTACCAGTGCACCGATGGCTTCCACTTCGACAGCACATGCTGGCTCCAGTGCAATGGGGCCAATCACACGGTGAGGCCGCCGCCTCCCTGCAAGCAGGTCCGTTTTTTCCTCTCTTTATTCTGCCTGTATAAACTGTCCGTGAGTTTTCACAGTGAGGTCTTTTGAAAATATTGAATAAAACACAACACACTCTTAGCAAAACAGGCTCAATATAGTACCAAAAAAAGGAAACAAATGTGGAAATCTTATTGGTGCTGCATAGAACCATTCTTAAAAAGGTTCTTTAAAGAATCATGTATAGTGAGTTTTCTGTTAAGAACCATTTAACCATGCAAAAAACACAAACACAAAGCACTTATTGGTTTCATATGGTACAACAGAACTGTTCTGAAGAACTCATGAAGAACTATTTCTTATAATATTTCATTATTCCAGAGGTATTCTGATTAATATTGAGAACTAACAAATATAAAAATTGCAACATGCTTTTGTTATTGTTGGCAATTTTGTTGGCAAAAGGGTTAGTTTGGTTGTCCTACTAGCTACAGATTCCACTAACAAGTTCAACATTACAGCAAATCTGTAAAGGCTGTTGTTTTCCATAAAACGATGGAGGAAACTCGGTTGGTGAGGTTTTGATAGTTTGCAGTACAGTATGTGTTGTAGACTTTCTCTTTATCTCTCCCCTGCCTCGCTCCCTCTGTCTGTCCATCCTCGCCTTCATCCATCTGGTTTGATTTAAATGAAAAGAATGAGGAGGTCTGGTTTCAGAACCTGGAAAAGGAACATGATGTGTTCAGTGAATGTCTTTGTCACTCACTCTCGCACACATACGAACACTTTCTGTTGTGTGGCTGACCTTGCCAGCCGCATCTCCCCAGCACCCCTTTGATGTTTCATTATGTCAGATGACCTCACGGTGGAATTTGCAGCATGGCACAAACATAATCAAGCAATCCTCCAGATGTAATCCTGAATGTTTTCACGCACAGGTCACCGGCACCAGAAGCGCACGGCCAAAAATCCCCGCAGTATGATTCGATTAAGCCTTGCAATAATTGCACGGCATTAAATTTTCTGAGAAGCTTGGGTGCGCGTGATGAATTATGGATGGTGCCTTAATCTGCCCTTTTGATGGGTGCTGTGATAAAAGTGGTGTCGCGTTACGATATCGGGATGTTGTTACATGTCCTTTTGGCCTGTTGTTGTCGCCGCAGGGCCCGAACGCCAACGTGATCCGCTGCAGGAAGGACGGGAACTGGACTGGAGCTTTCCGGATCTGTCCGCAGCTAAAGGGCCAGTGCGCTCTGCCTCGGAACCTGAACCCCAGTGTCTTCACCAGCTGCAAAAAAGGATACGGCATAGGTGAGCTCTCCTATGGATGCATAGGGGAAATCAGGGGAATCGTAAGCAGAACATTACACAGGCAAATTTTAAAAGCTCTACACGTAGGGGTCAACCTGGAAGTGACCTAACCATGCTCTACCCACAAACGTGCTCTTGTGTGGGATATTGCTTGGACAAGCTTTACCGCACATTAGTAAAAATAATATTAGGGCTAGTGAGAAGTTGTAGCACACAACAAGGGCATAGCTATGGGTGGCTTAGGGGGCCTAGGCCCTCCCACTTGAAAACCAGATTTCCTCACATTTCTAATTCAGAATTCTAATATTGTTTTTTTTTTTACCTTAAATTAAAAAAGAAATGAATGAAGCTCTCCTTAGGTCATCACAAATTTTCCACAGATGCTATCACCATGGCAATGTTTACACACCTGCATGCCCCTGTCGGTCATGGAAATAGGCACAGAAACCAACATTAGCTCGCTCCACTGTTTCTGTGAATGCTGAGAACTAGTTCCTATAGACTGCTTATCTAGATTACCGAGTAGCAGTAGCTGACCCATGACATAAATATTGTTCACTAATGTGAGAATGTGGTTAGAACTTCACAGGCATTCATTCTAGACAAACACTTCTAGTGCTGTTAAAGTAAATGTCTGGTTAATTAGCCTTCATCTGCAGTGGTAGTTAGTAGTTTTTCAAGTTCAGTGTAAGCTAGTTAAATGTGAGGTAACAAATATTGTATGTAATATTCACAAATGTTTTTAGCTCTAATGAACCAGTGTGTTGGTGGTTGTCACTATAGAGATGTCTTTGGGCCTTAATGCTTGCTAGCTAGCCCCTCAACCTCTAAGCAGCCACCCCAGTATGAAATTCTGGCTGCACCTTTAGTGCACAACTCAGTTTTTTTGTTAAAACATGTACATGTTGAATTGTTTTCAATTTGTATATATCATCCTGGTCACACTGTTATGGTAAATGTCTCAATTTGTTGCTGTCTTAATGCTGCTAGCTAGCTAATTTAACACAGTAGCCTACGATGTTAGTTACTGTAGCATAGCTACCATTTTTCCCATCAGACTCACCATATATACTGACATTACCGCAAAATCAACACAGCATGACAATATGTTGCTATGACATACCGAAAAAGGTAAGTTACATGGTGAAATATTACTAGCCACACAAGCTATAAATGCTATGTTAGCCTGAATACATAAAAAAATGTCCAAACAGTGTAACCTTTATGCAGAATGACAAGGAATAAAGCCCTTTTTTATACTTGCAATTCATTTGTCTCTCACATAGGAGCAGAGTGTGAGGTTTCATGCAGGGACATCAACAACGATGTGGTCATTCTCCCCGACAACATGACAGCTAGCAGTGTTCTGGAGCACCACTGGATGAACCCACCCAAAGTCACGGTGTGTTTTCCTCTGTCGCCCAGGACAACACGCACACACGCACTTCACAAAAGGCCGCTTCCTCTGAGATCGTGCCGAGGGAATGTTGCACTGTGCCTCCATATCTCGAGCGTGGCACAGGCTTTCATGGGTTGTGAGTTGAGAGCTGAAATTCACCAGTGTTTCATAATTTCTAAGCATTCACCCTTTGGCCACGTCCGCACGTGTCCAGACATTTTTAAAGGCATAGTTTTTAAATAAATCTTCAAAAAGCAGCGACACCAACAGCATTTTTGGAAATCTCTCTGTCGATACGAGAACAAAAACACCCTCAAAAATGCTCGCATGAAAATGCCTGCCCAGTTAAGAATAATAATAATAATAATAATAATAATAATACCTCATAAAATTTGCCGGCAAGCACCTTAAGAAGAACACTGGAAGCAAAATAGAGCTCGGCATAGAGCTGAAGCTGAGACTTTGTACCGCCGGCATCGTTCAAAAATATCCATTCTAGAGAATGTTTTCAAAAAGCTCTGATTAAAACCAGCTGTTTATGTGGATGGGATACCAAAAACTACAGCAAAATGACATTTTCAAAAACATCCTGCGTGGACATCCATGTGCCTTAGATCTGCGTCTCTAAGAAAAAGAGAATGTAATATAATGTAGTTCATTATTAATCTGCTTGTAATTCTTGACAAAAATACAGCATAACAACTCACAAAGAAGACATCCAAACACCTCTCAACTGGACAGAAGTACATCAGAGTGATAATAGATTATACTGTAAACCATACAGTGAAAAGGGCGTTCCAGTCTAACTCTCCAGTTCAACTAGTTTTAAATGTCATTTATTGTGTTATGTTGTATTCTGTCGTGCAGCACTGTATCCTTCAGCCTCATCAGTTTGACAGTATTCACAATTCTGTGTTGTTTCTTCATCAGTGTTTTCTTGCTACAATACCCAGCATGCTTTACACAAGCACATCCATCCACACAACCACTGGGAATCCCTGTGGTGTCAGCCAATCCTGACTGTTGGCCTAGCCATTGACCTTCATATGGCAACAAAATACAGTTTTTAAATGAAATTTCATTTATTGAAGGAAAAAAAATTATCCAACAACTGTCTGAAAAAAGTAATTGCCCCCTTAATTGCTCAACCAAATTTGGTTGATAATTAGAATTCAACTAGACACGTATTCAGCCACACTGTTAGAAATAAAGGTTCTGTGCAGGTACATTTTCGTTCCTCAAGGTATAACCGATGTAAATCTACCCTCAAAGGTACAACAGTGGTTTTAAGGTCCAACTGTGAAGCTTAAATAAGTTTTTCCAGGTGAAAAGTACATATTTGTACTTTTTCTAATTATCAGCCATATTTGTACTTTTTCATAACCGAATGTTTTAAAACAGAACAATAAAATAAAAAGGAGATTATGGTACAATTATGTTCCCTGACTAAAGGTACTGAGATGCACCCTTGAGGGTACCACCCCAGTGACAAGAGGGGTACTGCCCCAGTGACAGTTTAGTACCTTTATTTCTGAGAGTGTAGGTACCGAACAAGACACCTTTTTAAACTAAAGTAAGGTATCTAGATAGCCATTTCTGTTGTTTGCATAGTCAAATTCTACCCACTGCAATATCTGAAGACAAGCTACAAGATATTTGTCTTAGCAGTGACATTTAGCTGTCAGTCTTCTTTCTGCATTCACCAGCAATTTCGTGTGAAGATCATATTGAGAGAAAAAGTTGCTGTAATTGTATTCTGAACAAAAATGTGCCATAACAATTTATTAAAGATCTTCAGACTTCTTCAACTTCACAAAGAAGAGGGGAAAAAGGGGTAAAAATACAAATGAAACATAAACGTAAGTGCTGTTGCTCTCCGCTCTCAGTGTGTGCGTGCAGGCTGCATGTTTTCAGCATTTAACTGGATGTCATAGTCGTCTACCCCAGCCCTCATTCAATTATTGTTCATTAGACGCACAGTCAGGCATGCACCAGCCTAACCAATTACCTCGCATTGGAAAAACAGAGTACCATTACAGTAATCTCTGAACTCATTTGAACCGCAACGAGGCGGAGGCCAAGTCGTAAAAGTTAAAAAGCCGTCTGTAATCACTATAATTTCAAAAATGACCCTATTACAGGCACTAATAGAACAGCTTGATATACATTTACCTGTCAGAAGTATTATATTGGTTTAGCGCTGATTGCTAGAATTGGCCATAGGCGGTTTGAAAGCTAGTCTGGGGACAGTTTTGGTTAACACCTGTCTGTATAAACTTTGGGCAGCCTTAGATGTCTTCAGACTAAGAAACAGCGATAAGACCGTAATGGAGGCGTGGTAGCGTAATGCGCCACATTGGACGGCCTGCAAACCGCCGGCCATTTAGCTTGCGCAAATGAGATTTAATCACAGAAATTCGTTAAAGCTGTTCCGAAGGCTTTTGGCAAGTTTCAGCATCAGGCCTAATATTCTGTCGTGTCCAGAAACAGCCATGTTTTTCTTCCAGTGTGATTATTTTTGTGATCCTCAGTGTTGTTTTTTTTTATTGTTGTCATTGTTATCATTATTGTTGCTGTTGTTGTATTACTCATATTCCTTTTCGATGGGAATTTGTGCCGAGTCAGCCGTTTTGGGCTGGAGAAATGAAATGACACGTTGGTGATTGATTGGTGAAATTGATCTGGCGTGTGCGGGGGGTGGTGGAGCTGGGCTGCTGGGGGAAGAAGAGCCTGAATCGATGGAGCTGAAGCGGGCCAGGGGGGTTGAGCTGAGGTGAGATCGATAGGCGCTTCGCTTCTCTTTGCAGCTCACCACCCTCGCCGCTCCGTGTCAATCGATGGCGTCTGAATTCCACGGCACCTATTCCTCGTAACGCTCCTGTGCAAGGACATGTTCAGAGGAGGCTAGCTTGTTTTTAGCGTTAGTGCCTGTGTGGACACTCTGACTGAGGCTAGCGTTCATGTGCTGTTGCTAGCATTTCACAAATTTTATTGAAATTTAGTTCATATGCAACTATATAGTGAAACGAAACAGTGGTCTTCTAGAGCCTTGGTGCAGGCCAAGTGTTTAATGGACCATACAGTGATAAACGTATACAGTGCAATTATATAAGGCAGTGTAGGATAATATGCTAATTATGATATGCCTCAAAGACAAACAAAAAACAACAGTATAGTAAATGCATAGGAAAATTCATTATGAGTCAGATAGTAAAATGAAAGCTCTTATACCAGTAAAATAGAGGAATGTGAGTAGTTTGACTGTTTGGCCTTCTGTTCATTGAAATAGGCTTATGTATGCTAATTCAGAAGGGGAGTGGCAGAAGTTATGGAGCAAGAAAACTTCTACAAAATGTATGGCAATGGCCCACCAGCCCTGGAAAAATCCATCTTGTGTTGGACATGGCCTGCTACACATATGTATATATGTACATATATACATACATACATCATCTAAACCGCTTATCCTTCTGGGTCACGGTGGGGTGCTGGAGCCTATCCCAGCTGTCATTGTGCGGAAGGCAGGATACACCCTGGACAGGTCGCCAGTCCATCGCAGGGCATACATATATATATATATATATATATATATATATATATATATAATTTATTAATTTCAAAAATTACTTCATGTAGTAACAAGCAATTGAACTAGTTTTATTCAACCTAAAAAACTAAATTGATTGAAAGAATCATCCATTCAAAGTATTTATTTAGGTTGAATTAAACTAATTGCTTTACTTGTCACCACAGGAAGTCATTTTTTTAGGTGGATCTGACGAGCCATTTTTTATATGATATATATATATATATATATATATATATAAACATTACTCAACTCCAATCTTCAAAGGCATTATTAACAAACATCAGTTACTCACCGCCACCCTCTAAAGGCATTATTAATAAGCATCAATTAAACAAGCATTACACACCACCGCCCCCTAAAGTTGCTTTTTTTAACAAACATCAAACAAACATTACTCACCTTTGCCCTCTAAAGGTGTATTAACCGACATCAAATAACCAAATGTTATCAGAGATGTTATAAAGAAAGAGACCAGTCATTGGTTGAAATGTGAATGGGAAGCTAGTAACCCTCAACATGGCCTCTGTTTAAAGAGAAAATCCCACCCTTCAATAAAATCAGCTTTATATTTAAGCTATGAGCAGGAAAAGCCCCCCGTCACTGTGAAGATCTGTGTAAGTGGAAAAAAGATGTTTTTTTGTTTGTAAACTAGACAAATGCTACAATCTATTTATGAGTTTTTTGTCAGCATTTACCAGCAATTTCGACATAGTAGTGCAGTGGGTAGCCCTGTCACCTCACAGCAGGAAGGGCCTGGGTACTGGGTTCGATTCCCTGACCAGGCAACCAGGATCTTTCCTGTGTGGAGTTCTGTGTGCATGTTCTCCGGGTACTCCGATTTACTCCCACAGTCCGAAGACATGCAGTCAGGCAAATTGGAGATGTTAAATTGCCCCTAGTGCGAGTGTGTGTGTGAGTGTATATGCCTGTGTGTCTGTGATGGACTGACGACTTGACCAGGGAGTTTCCTGCCTTCTGCCCAATGAGTGCCGGGATAGGCTTCAGCCCCTCTTGCAATCCAGAAGGATAAGTGGCTTAGATAGTGTGTGTGTGTGTGTGTGTGTGTGTGTGTGTGTGTGTGTGTGTGTGTGTGGGTGTGGTTTCTTCCCATTCAAAGACAGGAGTCTGGTCTTGTATTGCTGGAAATAATTGCCCACAGCATTGCAAAGATGGCCGCCACTTGAGCAAACTTTCCTATAAGGACTTTGATGTTATTCACTGCTGCTCTATAAAGGTGTTATTAACCCCTTAGAATCCCAGGCTGCTTACCTACTAAGGTGTATTATTTAGTAACTTATTTAGTAACTACAGGGGCTTTAAAGCAAACTGGTTGAGCTATTCTTAGGTTATAGACGTGTAATAAAACCTTGTGTCTGCCAGTGGGTCCAGGCCTTATAAGGGGTTAATAAACATC